GTGATAATAAGCCTGAAATCCAAGCAAGGCCACAAGTACCTGGAGCCGAGTATGATTGCCCTTCCGGTGACTCACAGCTTCTATCACTGGTAGGTTACACCTCAGTCCCCTTGGTCATGTTTCTGCTTGGCCCCTGTGAGCATGTCCTCATCTGTTCACTCAAACAAGCAACATGTGCTGAGCACCTATTATGTGCCAAGCATACGATAATGAGTCTGCAATTAATGTGTGCCCACAAAGGCACCCAAGAGATGGTAATTGTCAATGTTGTCTCAGACTTGAACCTGTGGTACAGCTATTTGGGAAAACAGTCTGGCAGTTCTTCAAAAAGCTGAACACAGATTTATCATACGTCCCAACAATTCCACCCTAGGTATCGCCTAAGAGAACTGAAAACATCTTCACACAAAAACTTATACATAAATGTTCATAGCAGCATTATTCATAATAGTTAAAAAAGTAGCAACGATCCAAATGTCCATCAACTGATGGACAAAGAAAATGTGGCATATCCATACAATGAAATATTATTTGGCCATCAAAAAGAATCAAGTTTTGACTATGCTACAACATGGATAAAACTCGAAAGTGAAAAAAAGCCAGACGCAAAAAAGCTACATATTATACGCTTCCATTTACATAAAAGACCCAGAATAGGCAGATCCATAGAGACCAAAAGTAGATTAGTGGTTGGAAAGGACTGGGATTGGGGAGTGTCTGCCAGTGGGCACAGAGTTTCTTTTCGGCATGATGAAAATCTTCTGGAATTAGATGATAATTGATGCACAACTCCGTGAATATACCAAAAAAAAAAAAAAAAGGGGGGAAGGGGGAACCCTATTGAATGGTGCACTTCTAAACAGTGAAGTTTAGAGTATGCGAATTATATCTCAACACAGCTGTTATGTAAAAAAGAATCACCAGGAAAAACAAACAACCTGACAAGTCAAGAGAAAGGAACAGCGTGTATACCATCAGACCTAGGAGTAAAGAGGTATTTCGTCTGTGATACAGTATTTCAGAGCAGTGCGGGAAGGATGAATTAGCCAAGAAAAGGTTTGAGGACAAGTAGTTAATCATGTGGGGAAAAATTAAGTTAAATTTTGGCCGGGTTCGGTGGCTCAGCCTGTAATCCCAGCACTTTGGGAGACCGAGGTGAGTGGATTGCCTAAGCCCGCGGGTTCGAGACGAGCCCGGGCAACTTGGCAAGACCTTGTCTCTGCGATAAATAAAAATTAGCCAGGCATGGTAGCGTGTGCCTGTAGTTCCGGCTACTTGGAAGGCTGAGGTGGAAGGATCACCAGAGTCCATCAGGTGGACGTTGAGGTGGCCATAAGTGTGCCACTGCACTCCAGCCTGGGCAACGGAGTGAGGCTCCAACTCGGAAAAAAAAAACAACCCTTTAAGCCAGGTGCGGTGGCTACCGCCTGTAATCCCCACACTCTGAGAGGTGGAGGTGAGAGAACTACCTGACTCCAGGGATTAGATACCAACCTGGGCAACTTGGCGAGAACTCGTCTCTACAATAAATCAGAAAATTAGCTGGGTATGGTGCCACACGCCTGTGGTTCCAGCTACTTGGAAGGATGAGCTGGAAAGATGGCCTGAGCACAGCAGGTTGAGGCTGTAGTAGCCATGAGCGTGCCACTGCATTCTAGCCTGGATGACAGAGTGAGACTCTGACTCAAAAAAAAAAATATATATATATATTTATACACTTAAGTTAAATGTTAAGAAAATTTTCACCTCTGCCACCTTCTAAGTGGTGGCCTCGGGAAGTCCTTTTACTTCTCAGAGTCTCTTTTTCCACATCTGTAAAATGGGCATATCATTCCTGATCCATACTGTTTGTGCAAATATTCAGTGAGACACTGGTGGCCTGTTCCCTGGTAGTCACTCAATGTTAGCCGTGATGACACAACCACTGCTGGCAGCAGGGTTGCTGTTTTCACAACACAGCAAGGTCCAAATCCTAGTTTGCTGCTTAGTAGTTGTGTGACCACCAGCAAATGCCCTCACCTCTTTGTGCCTCAGTTTCCCAAACAGTTTCCTGTTCATCTCCAACATTAACATCACCATACCTACCCTATATTATTATAGGGAACGCTCAATGACTAAAGTGACTTCCCAGTGGCTGGTGCACGAGAAGCCCCAAGGAAATAAGCGCTGCCTGGGTGATAGACACAGAATTGTAGAACCACAGCATCGTAGAGAGATCCACAGGTGTAGACCCACAGAATCTGGGAGTTCCAATACATTAGAACAGTAGAATCTTGGATAAAATATATCTAGAATCTTGGAACCAAAGGGCTATGAAATTGTCGAACTTTTAGAGCCAAAAGGACCTCAGAGACCATCTGCCCCAGTGTTTTGCAAGCTCATGGAAATTTTCAAATACTACTGCTACTAACAACAACAACAACAACAACAAAGTAGCAGCCACCACAATAGCTAACACAGTGCTTACTATTTGCCACGCATGTTTCTAAACAGTTTAATAGAGTAACCTGTGTAAGCTTCACAGCAACTCTATAAGATAGGTGCTATTCATACCACATTTTCTTAGATTGGAAAATAGAGGCACAGAGGAGGAGACTGCACAAAGTTAAACAGGTAGTGAGTAGTAGAATCAGGATCTGATCCTAGGCCAGAATCTATGCTTAGATTCCCAAACCTTATCAGAAATTCTAACTTGATGGCTCTGGGTTGGGACCCTCAAATCTGCTTTTTAAGCTACTCGGATGACTCAGATACCAGCTATGACTGAGAAACACTGATCTAGCCCAGAGGTAACCAAATGGTGATATTTTGTTTTTTTGTTTTTTGTTTTTGAGTTGGAGTCTCACTCTGTCACCCAGACTGGAGTGCAGTGGCCACTCCTGGCCACTGCAGCCTCAACCTGCTGGGGTTCAGAGATCCTTCCACCTCAGCCTTCCAAGTAGCTGGAACTACAGACACACACTACCACGCCTGGCTAATTTTTGATTTATTGTAGAGATGAGGTCTCGCCAAGTTGCCCAGGTGGGTCTCAAACCTGTGGGCTCAGGCAATTCACTCACCTTGGCCTCCCAAAGCACTGGGATTACAAGCTGAGCCACCGAGCCCGGCCTATAGTCATATTTTATTTGACCTTACAACATTTAAAAAAAAAATAAGCCTTTTAAAATCAGTTGACTTCAAAAATTTATGACTTTTTTGAAAATTTTGGAAGATATGGCAATATCCATGTGCCCAAAGGGCAAGAATTGGGTGGAGCTGAGTATCAGTTTCTCCCTTTAAGGATGGCATACTCTTTCCAGGAGCACCCCTTAGCCCTTGATGTTCCCTTTCTGGATCCTGGAGTCATTTAATTTATAATTCCTGGGTTGGCCCAGCTGTTACACTGCGAAAGAAGAAAAACTGAGGCCTACACAATGGGAAAGGCCTGAGTAACACAGCAAGCCCAAGGTAAAGAGAGAGTAGATCTGACTCTTGACTTTAAAAATCCCATAATAACAGTAACAACAGCTAACATTTTAAAATGACTTTCTATGCATTATGCATACAGGCTAAGCGCTTTTCAAACACCAGTGAACATTCACTATCACTCTTAAATAGGCATCATGATGAGCCTCATGTTACAGGTGAGAAAAACGAGGCATGGAAGAAATCAAGTCACTTGCTCAAGGTCACACGGGTAGGAAGTAAAAGCACTGGCAGAATAGGATTCAACTCAAGGCCTGACCCCAGAACCTGAGCCTTCAGTCGTGATCTCAGTCTCTGGAACCCTGAGTCATAAGGCGGAGAATCGATCCCCGTTCTAGAACCTTTCGACCCCACTGTCTCAGAGCTCCTGTAGATTAGGGGGAGGCGCTGGAAGGTGCTGACCCCATTTCCCCTGCAGCGTTCACGAACTCCTGATGAACTCGGAGCCCCTTATGGTCACAACCCGGGCGGAGGGAAGAGGCGATGCCCGCGCCTCCCTGTGAACTGCGGGAAAGCCGTGCCCTGCTGGTGGGCAGGGATCTGGGAGAAGCCCGGCGTGGCGCGAGGAGCGGAGTCGCTTCAGCACCAAGGACAGCGGCCGCGCTCCATGCCCCAGGCCTGCCGTCTTTTGGGGGGAGCCCCACCCGGCGGCGCTCCTCCAGGACCCCCGCCCACCGCTCCCCTAGGACCCTGGGGGGGTGGTCTCAGGCTCGTGCTCTGTCCCACCTCAGGGCCACGGCAGGACCCGGGAATTCCAGATCCCTTTCACCGAGGCCCTCGCCCTGTCTCTGGCTCCAGGCAGACCTTCAGGAGCCCTCGCGGGCGGCCCGCCCGCCGGCCCAGGGTTTCGGGCCCCTTTTGAACGGAGTGCGCGGGTCTACGGGGTGGGGAGGGGACGGGAAAC